CTCGCTTATCCAGTTGGCTTCATTCCACAAATATTTATCGTGGTGTTGCCTGGGGACACAGCAGTGAATGAAACGGGCAACAATCCCTGTCTTCATGAAGTTTACATTGTAGTAGGGTAGGCCCTTAATAAACTGGACGTTAAAATTTGGTTTCCCATTATAGAATTTATTAATGTATTATAAATGTCTGCACAGGCTACATACCAGGCCTGTTCTGAGAGCTATGCAAGTATTAACTCATTTTAATTTTACTTCAAAAGAGGTAAACTGGTGACTGGAAAAAGACACTAAAACAAGTCCACCCGTTTTAGTGAACAGGTGGGGACTGAATCCTAATGGAAGACTGAGGCAAAAATGAGGCGAGAAGAATTAGTAAATACGTAACTCTCTTGAGGAATTCTGTTCTGAAAGGAAGACTAGAAATGCAATAAAGGGGATATGGGTCAAGAAAGTTTTGTTTTGAAGTCTGGGAGCCTCTATAGCACCTTGGCGTGCTCATAAGAAAATAATCACGGATGCAGGAGAGCAGAGCTGCTTGTTTACTGTGGGAGCAATTTCCTTGACGGAAACCACAGTGTCACCTTTCCTGTTGGCATTCCGAGGCCATCTATATAAAACTGCAATCCCTGCCACTCACTACTCCTCATCTGGTCTCTTTGGCTTTATTTTACTCCTTAGTACTTAACATTTCCTACAGTTCAAGATATTTAACTCCTCTGGCTTACTGACAGCCTATGATACTAGAATGCAAGCTTCATGAGGACAGTATTGTTGCCCGTTTTGTTCACTGCTATATCCCCAGTGCCTATGGCAATGTCACGATAAATATTTGCAGAATGAAGTTGGACAAGCGGAGTGACTGGCCCCAGAGAGGACAGACTGTTCATCTGCAAAAGGAAGGCAGAGTCCAGAAGTGCAGGCCTCAGGAGGCTGAGCAATGTGGTGTGGGTTCCTGACACTCTCTCCTGAGGGCTTCCATTAGTTGGGTATAGATTTCTAGGTTAGAAATCATTTTCCCTTAGAAGGTCAAGACACTGCTTCACTGTCTTCTGGTTTCCAGAACTGCCACTGCCAAATCTCAGGCAATGTTGATTCTTAGTCTTTGTACAAGAACTACTTTATCTCTATCCCTGATATTCTAAAATTTCATGATAAAGGAGTTTTGCATCTTTATAGGCCTCTAAAATTTTTTGAAATATATTAAGTATATATGTCATATAAACAACTTAAAAAAAAAAAAAGTTAAGAACCCCAAACCTGCCACTTGGCTCAGGAGTCAGCAAACTACAGTGAAAAGGCCACGCCTGGCCTGCGGCCTGTTTTTGGCAATAAAGCTTTGTTGACACACAAACCACAACCGTTAGTTTACCTCTGGTCAGCTACAAGGTTGGAGCCCAGCAGTTGCAACAAAGACCATATGACCCACAAAGGCGTATTTATTATTTGACCTTTTATAGCAAAATGTGTTGGTTCCACCCCTGGCTTAAGACAAAAAGCAAAACTTTTGGTGTCCCTGGTACGACTCTTCCCAACCAGTCTTTTCTCCCTGTGAGGAAACCATTACCTAAATTTTGTGTTATTTCTTTTTACCTTTGTAGTTTGTATGTATTCCTAAACAAAAAACCATTTAGTTTTTCTAACTTGAACTCTGTATTACTAAAATCATACTGTACAGTATGTCCTTGTGTGACCCAGTTCTTCACTCAGCTTCTAGAACAGAGGCATAATCATGTTGATAGTGCAGTTCATTTTCATTGAACCGATCAATATTCCATTGTGTGACTACACCAGTCTATCAGTTGTTGATAGTCATGAGAACTACTTCCAGGATTTACATAAAACAAACAAAAAGCCACTGTGAACATTTTTGTACATGTATGCCACCATATGTGACCAAGGGGTATGTGTATATATACAAAATGTCACCTAGGAGTAGAATTGCTGAGCGATGGGCATATGTAAATAGTTTTGTAGCACATACCCTTCAAACAATAGTAAATAACATTCTCTAATACATTTTCAATATGACACCTGGCTTTGTCAACCACCAATTTTTTTGCAGACCTACTGTGCCAATCTCTTTAGGTTTTGTTTGTTTTTCAGAGACAAGGTCTCACTCTGTTGCCCAGGCTGGAGTGAAGTGGTAGGATCATAATCTACTGCAAAGCCATGATCCTGGGCTCAAGTAATCTTCCTGCCTCAGCATCCCAAGTAGCTAGGACTACAGGCATGTGCTACCATGCTAATTTTTAATTTTCTTTATAGAGACAGGGGTCTCACTATATTGCGCAGGCAGGTCTTAAACTCCTGGCCTTAAGCGATCCTCCCACCTTGGCATCCCAAAATGTTGGGATTACAGGTATAAGTCACTGTGCCCAGCCATAATCACTGTAGTTTTAAGGTGCTTTTCTATGATTACTAATGTGGTTGAGTATCTTTCCATATAGCTCTTGGCATCTGTATTTCTTCTGTGAAATGCTCATTCATGCCTTTTGCCAATTTTTCCCTTGACAGGCTTGTCTTCTTTTTAATTGTTGTAGTTCTGTACTTATTTCTGATATTAATTTGGCAGTTTTTTTATACCGCAAATCTCAGCTTGTGACTTTTCAGCCACTGAAAAGTATCTTTTAATGAATGAAAGTTCACAATTTTAATATTTTGTTTTATACAATGTGTATTATGGATCATCTTTAAATAAGCCCTTCTCTACTCCAAAAATCATTGAGGATGATTCTACTTTGTCTTCTAAATATTTTTAAATTTTGCCTTTTACATTTAAGTTCTTGATCCATTTGGAATTTAGTTTTTTGTGTGTACAATGGAAACTGTCTTCCTTTTCTTTCCCATGTGGACAGCCAATTATTGAAAAGTCCATTCATTCTTCCTCATCTGTAAGACAGAGGTAATTACAGAACCCCTAAGGCTGTTGTAGTAAGAATTAAATGAATTAATATCTGCAAAGTGCTTAAGACAGTGCTTGGCATAAAGCAAGGAATCAAAAATATCATGATTAAACAATAGGGAATTCAGTTCCACTGAGATGATGTCTTGTTCTTGTTGACCGAAGTTTAATAATCTAAAGCAATAGTAACTGGTTATGGATTAGACTCTTTCAAAGAGGTGATAATAGATCTGGTTGACAATACACTCATTCTGAAATTCAGTCTGGGTGTCTGTGCCCTGAAATTATGAACTGCACATATGGTGTAAAATAAAATGTAAAACAAAGCAAGAGGTCTAGTATAGGCTATTCTTAACACATAGTGGGCAATAAAAAAACTGAGCTCTTGATGAGCAATCAATAACCAAAGAAAAAATAAAATAATGAAGGAATAATAAAAACCATAAGGAAAACTCTAGTAGTCTCAGAGAGTTTTCATTATTAGGCAGCTTTTTTTCATAAGTAAACCCAAAACTGATTTTATCCATAGGTCCTTCGTTAGGGAACTCTCTGCTTATAAGAAGATTTTTCTACCCTATCTAACAGAGGGATACCTACTAGGCATTCTACTCCTAGTCAATTTCTGTATATAAGTTTTGTCTACAAACAAAAACAAAAACAGCAATAAACCCAGCAAACAGATACTGAATTATTTAGGGGAAAGTAACGTGATGCCTGTGATTTACTTTGAAATGCATAAAAAATAAGACGGATCTCCTGTAATCCCAGGACTTTGGGAGGCCAAGGTGGGTGGATTACTTGAGGTCAGGAATTCGAGACCAGACTGGCCACCATGGCAAAAGACCATCTCTACTAAAAATACACAGAGTAGCTGGGTGTGGTGGTGCATGTGTGTAATCTCAACTACTTGCATGACTGAGGCACAAGAATCACTTGAACCTGGGAGGCAGACGTTGTAGTGAGCCAAGATAGTGCCACTGCACCTCAGCTTAGGTGACAGAATAAGACTCTGTCTCAAAAAAAAAAAAAAAAAAAAGATGGATCAATGGATGCTATGGAAGATGAACAGCTGAATAAATACATGCCAAAGACCTATACAATGTCACCAGTAGAATTTAAAATGAAGTAGATCAGCATTCACTGTAAAATTATTTCGACTTTCTATAATGGCTTCAGAATTTTCATAAAAAAACATTGGGGAAAATGTAAATTCTTATATTTAGCAAGTGAAAAACTGAAATAAAAGGAATATAAAAATATTTAAATTATACACACAGCAAAAGTTATATAGAAAGTTCATTATAATTTATAAGAAAAATATCAAGACACCCATAAAATAAATGCGAAAGGATTTTAACAAAATACAAATAAAAAATATAAACCCATGGAAAATATTCAGTTACCTCTAACCAAAGAGGTAATTTTAAAACTAAAGCAAACCTGAAATACCACTGCACATCTACTTTCTTAGCTGAATTCGTGCATGCGCGCACACACACACACACACACACACACACACACACTATTTCCTGGCAAAGCTGCAGTGAAAATGGCATACTCATCTACAGCTGGCAGCCTTCACTGTAAACAAGTACCGCCTGTTTGGGAAGCAATTTGGCAGTCCCTAAGTCATAGTGCTTATCACGTCCTTTGACCTGGCATCCCACTCCTTAGAAGGTAACTGTAACAATCAAAAGAAACCAAAAGATGTTCATTGCAGTATTATCTACTAAAATGATTAAATAATAAACAACCTAAATCGCCATCAAGAGAAGAAAGAGTAAATAATGACACATCTGTATCACAAAATACACAGATATTAAAAATATGATAATACTCAAAGCTTATGTAGAAAACTGCAAAATGTTCATAACACATAATCAAATGGAAAGCTATTTATAATTGACTGTGAGACTACAGGAATAAATGAAATGTGCACTGGCACTGTAAAAAACATGAACGATTAATGAAAATGACATGTTGCCAAATAAGGGGATTGTAGCTGACTCCCTTTTCTAAAATTTTCTTTCATCTTGTTGATGTATCTTTCAATTAAAATTAAATCATTAAAAAACCAGTCTTAAGACTGTCTACTCACAGTGCTGAGTTTGCTGCAAATGATGAGTATCCGGCGTTCGTAGAGCATACTGGCATACAGATGCAACATGTTGTTGACATCCACCGCCACAAAATATTCTGTCAGATTTCTCTAGGAGAAAGAAGAAGGCATGGGTTGTAGCTTATTTTGTTTGTTCTTATTACAACAGTATCTAATAAGAGCATAAGAAACAGAAAATAATAAAAAAGTATACTCTCTTCTTCCCCCTGTCCTTTTCTGTCTGGGAAGCCAAATCCCCATCATGTATAAAATCATGAACCCTCAAGCCGGAAGAGCCCTTAGAGTGGAAGGAGCCTGAGCAATTACATCTTTGTGTGGTGATTACAGTTTACAACTGTGAGGTCGCATGCAGCACTGCATTTGTGCCTTAGGTCAGTTCGTAAAGGTGAGCAGAACAGAAATTCTACTTATCTTACAAACGAAGAAACCAAGACTCAGAGAGATTCTCCAAGATGGAACAGTCTAATAAGCAATGAAGACAGGACTGCTGCTCAAATCTTTGGGCCCCAGACCCTAGAACCTTCCTGATGTGCTGTGCCATACGCCTAAGCAAAAGAAAGTACCCAGGGACCAAAATGCTCCTGGCACTGAGCCCATTTCTGTGCAGGAGATGCCACCCACGAAGGCCAGGCGAGCGCCTCTCCTGTCATCACTGCTGGTATCCCCTCCTTCACAGTTTACATTCGCTAAAATGGCTCAGCTGGAATTAAGGCAATTTCGAACATTTACAATTTCCAGGTATTTCACTCAAAAGGGGGAAAAAACAGAAGACAAACAGCAGCAAGTTGTGACAAAGCAGTGTTTTAACTAGCCTTCCCACTCACCCCCCTGGCCCCCTAGCCTGGGCTTCATTCTTTTAATTAATACTATAGATTGTTACTCTTCAGATTTCAGAAAAAAAAAATGGAGTGTGTTTCATTTATACAACGCTTTCTATACCCACCTGACTTAATAATATACATGAATATGCTAATTTCTTCAATGTTACAGGTTTTCAATGCCACACAATATAATCCTCTGAAAATGAAAGGGGTTGGGGAGGGAAGGAATGCTATTGCCAGGGGGTTGCAGTTTATAATGATTAAAGATCTGTAACCCATAAATTGAAATAAACCAGGTGGACTTTGCATGCAAAATAGCATAAAGTGCTTTTCAACAATATTATGGGCTGGGAGTAAAAATGGGTACTTATCTTATAATTTATTATTGTTTGACTGAAGTACCAGGTTAACTGTCAACCTTTATAAATACAGAGCAGGTGAATTAATAGCTCTATATACTACCTATCTATCAAGTGCCAGTCACTGTGCCAGACACTGTGGATGTGTAATTGTGCAGTCTTCACAAAAGTCCAGTAGGCGTTGTTCTTTCCAGTATAAAGAAGTCTGGGAGAGGTCAGTATCTGGTGAAGTCAGATCTGACTCCACAGCCTATAAGCTTTTCCTTATACCACATTGTCCCTCTTACACACATCCACTGTGTGCAAGGTTTACATTTATTACTAAACATTTCACTTAATCTTCAAACTACTCCTTGAAACAAGTATTATTATCCCTCTATAAAGATGAGCAAACAGTGGCACAGAGAAATTGTATAGTTTGGCAAAGGTCACGCAGTAAGTGATGTGACATGATTCAGTCCTAAGAGGGTCTAAATCCGTGCTCTTTTCATACAACACAAAATTGTAGGTAAAAATCATATTTGGAAAAGGAAACAGAACAAGATCAAGTATGCCTAAAGAAAGGGAAATGCTTCTGTTAAAAATGACTGTTACCCCATTCACGGAGTGATCCATATGTGGCAGGCAACAGGTGCTTTTCCTGTGTTCATTCCAGTTTTCCCAACAACCCTGAGACAGGCAGTATCATCTCCACTTTATAGATGAGAACAAACTGAGGCTCAGGAAGTCTCAGTGGATTTCTAAGGGTCACCAAGCTATAAAGGGCAGAGCCATGTTTCAAAACCAGACCTCCTCAAGCCGAAACGCACACCCTAACCACCACACCAACTTGCCTCTTAACAAACTCAGGGAAAAACAAAACAGCAAACACGAAAGGCAGATGGAAGGGGTTGACCAGCATATCTTGGTTCCTCCACTGGACGGAGGAATGCAGAGCTAATGATGTAAGGGTGGGGTTTGCTCTGAAGACAGTGACATGGCACAGCTCTCCTCACAAACAAAAATACGAGGCCCTTCACTGAGCATTTCAGTAAAAAGCTTAACTGCTGATGAATTACATGAATTTTTCTTTTAGGAGAGGATGGAAGTAAAAAGAAAATAGAAATGAGGAGCTTAAAGAAGGCCAGAAAGCCCATTAGCACTTTTGACAGATCCAAAGATAACTCTGAAGCCACCAAAACGTGGCCTCAAGAGTCTGCCAAGAAGCTTCACGCTGGGGAGAAATATGTTACACAGCTTGCCGTCCAAATAGGGAGACACAGCGTCAGAGACAAATCCTGCGCCTTATTTTGGTGGGAGAAAAAAAAAATCACAAGGATACTTTTGTGGATGGGGAAGGGAACATTTCTGAAATAAAAACACCATTTGATTGAGGCATGTCCCCCATCTCCAATCAGATTCTTAGTGACTCAGGTGCTGGTTCCAAAAACTCTACACAGGTATGTTAAAAATACGTAACATTTAGCCAAATTCTCTCTAAACTGTCATGTACTTTTTTTGGTATTTCTCATCCCATCTGTGCTGATTACCAAGATATTTGTGTCTAAACAGAAGCTGTCTTGCTTATCTGCTTCCTCCCCTGCCTCTTTCCTTCTGGGATGCCACCCGCCTGAGCGGGTGGGAGTGGGTGGGGGTGCCAACAGCCCTGGGAACCTCGCTCAGCCGTGGGAGCACCTGTGGGGCAGAGCGGGGCCCCAAGAGCAGCTGCAGGGAGCACTCACAGTTCCACCAAGCCTCAGCTCAGAAGCAGGCCCCACGGAGTCAGGAACCTCCCTCCCCCAGCCATACCAATCCTCACTCTCTCAGGCCTGCCATGCCTTTTCATACCCACAGGCCTTTACTTCTGCCATGTCCTCTGCCTTGAATGTCCTGCTCTTTCTTGAGGGCACCTGCTTACTTTTCAAGACCCAGCTCTGATGTCACCTCTTCCCAGCAGACTTCCCCAACTCATCATTTGTCAAGCTCCCCCATATACTTCCATTGTCCCCATCTTACAGTAACTCAGTTTTAAGTATGTTTTTGCCACAAGACTGAGGTCCTGTTGGGTGAAGCTACTTCTCCCATTATCCAGCAGTTTGATAAGAGCAAGCTCGGTGCATGGAGAAAGCAATGGCTGAGGGCGCTGGTCCCTTGCTCAGGTGAGAGCAGTGCAGTGAGGAACACACCAGCTGGAAAAGGAACCAGGTGGGACATTAAGAAGAATGTAGCATGTGACTCCAGAAAACCTGGCTCTGAATCAGATGAAGCAACTGATCACTCAGTAATGGTGAAGAACCCACAGAAAAAGAATTGACACTGGAAACGGCACAGAGGCAGGTAAGTAGCTGTGGATGGTGGAGGGAGGGAGGGGGTGACTTTTCATGGTATCTGTGGCTGCATTTATTAAAAATATGAATAAATTAGTGGTTTATCAGGTAACTGGGTGGAGGGCTGTACACAAAAGCAGGTGTTCATTTCATAGCCAGGTCAACCATATTTCTCCAATGGATAGATCAGAGGATAGGAGAAGGGAGGGCTTCCATGCTAGGCTGTCTTTGGTCAAGACTATAGCCAAAACATATTATGAGCCTCTGCTGACAAAAGATAAGCCACTCTCCCAGCACTTTGTTTCTGTGGACTAAGTCCTCAACCTCCCATTTCTGTCTCCTATAATCAGGCAATGAACACACACTTACTTTTTTAATTCCTACTATGTGTCTAGCACCCTCCTAGGAGCTAAGCTTGCAGAGATAAACTAACTGTGACCTCCATTTTCCTGCTTCATCTGGGGTGGGAGGAACATCAGACTTAGAAATCTAGTATGCAATGTACTGTGGTCGAGGCTACATTCCAGGTATGGCTGAGAAGCCTCAATGCCCTTGCTGGATATGCAGGGGAAGGCTGGAGAAGGTGTGATGGAGAAGACAACTGGTTTGGGCCTCCAAATGGGTTCATTCAGTGGACAAGGAAAGAAGCATATTCCAGGCAGAGGCAAAGACAGGGTGGGGAGAGGAGCCACAGGCAGGGAGGAGAGTGAGGGGCAGGGCAGGGCAGGGGGGGAGAGCAGTGGACCGGGGAGCTAGGTTTCTGTCCTGTGGGAGCCTAGGCCTTGCCCCACAGGGGACAGGGCAGTGCTGAAGGATCCTGACATGATCCTATTTGTGTTTCAGAAAGAACTTCCTAGGGGCTCCGTGGAGAACAGGTAAGAGGGCAAACAGGAGGCAGGACAGTCAACTAAGAGGCTGCTGCCATATTCTGGGAAATAAATGATTAAAATATACATTAAAAAACCAATTCAGACAAAAGCTTTGGGTGATGTGACAGATACCTCTAAAGTAGAATCATAGGATTTGATGAATTAGACTTGGGGAGGGAAGGAGGAAAAAATGTCAGATGACCCCTGGACTTCCAGATTACTATGTGCCACACTTGTCCACTTGTCCAAATAGTTTTTTTAAAGGGAGAGTCCATTCATTTAATAAAGGATAAATCCTCCTTCTAAAGTCCAATAATTCCTGTCAAACATGGTGTCCCTGGCCACCTAGTCCTAGGCCTAGTGTCCTGGGCTGTAATGCTACCATGCCTGGGCCTAAGTGACCACTCTCTTCATTCTCTGCCAATTACTTCTCTGTGTGACTCACCTACTTGGAAAGGAAACCCTTGCTTCGAGGGCTAATTCCCAGTTTCTGTGCTTAAAAGGTCTCAGTTTTCTTAGTGCCAGTATGTTTTCAGGCTTGAGAATATTCCTTTCCCACTCATGGAGCTTAAGCGTTATTTCAGTTACACATATATTTATATCCTCAGGCAAGTGCCTGTCCACCTAGCACCTCTTCTGGCCATACTCTCTAGGGCTGGGTAGCACAGCTGCAAAGCTAACCACCACCAAGGTTGGAAAGGGCTCAAATATGAGCAAGGTCTCTGGACAGAGCGG